TTCTGACTTTTTCGTTTTTAATTTTGTAGAGCTCATGCTTATGGGATTCATATCCTTGCTTCTAACAATATTACAAGGACCAATCTCTGATATTTGCATTCCGGCGAGAGTTGCAGCCACTTGGCATCCCTGCGATGGGAGCCAGGAGAAAAAAGAGGCATCAAAGTCTGATACTTCTGATAAGTCTCGTCGAAGGCTCCTTCAGTTCTTGGATTCTGGAGAAAGTCATAGGCGTTTTTTAGCTACAAAATATGACACATGTGGCGAGGTAAAATATAAGATGAGTATAATCTTTGATTACCAAGTTTTAACATACCAAAAATATGCTAGGGTTGATAAAAGTAAGTCCAGAATTTGTTCTACTGAGCTCAATTTTTTTAAGCAGCTGATTATTGAAATTAATTTTTGGATATGTTTCAGGGTAAAGTTGCCCTTGTATCATCATATGGTATCCACCAGCTCCATATTTTCATCTTTGTTTTGGCAGTTGTTCATGTGCTCTACTGCATAATTACATATTTCATAGGCAGAACCAAGGTATTGTATTACTACCAATTATCCACTTTACTCTCAGATGCTGGGTTTGGTTTCCCTTGTCTGATGGATCAATCTCTTCAATGCTTCTTTGAAATGCAGATGAGGAAGTGGAAGGCATGGGAGAAGGAAACAAGGACACTTGAGTACCAATACAATAATGGTAAGTCTTCAGTCCAAAGCTTAGCCTAATGATCAATTATCAAATCACAATTTGTTGCCTATAATTTCATTAAAGATGCAAAAAATTACACATACAATGATGGAAGTGGCTTTCAGTAAACAAGTCAGTGGCAACTATTTCTAGTTTAGTCATCTTATACTAAAGTATTACTCAAATGTCTGTATGGCTTGCAGATCCAGAGAGGTTTAGGTTTGCAAGAGAGACATCATTTGGGAGAAGGCATTTGCAACTATGGAGCAAGTCATCGATTCTCCTTTGGATTGTAAGTACTGAACGTGAATTTTTCTAAAAGAATTTGCCTTCATGAAATAACAATGTGGGCAATGAAGATAACATCACTGAAACACTGCATAATCTGTATTGAACTTAGGATACGGTATTCACGGTTTGGCTATAGGAATGATACGATTAGCATGCCAATTCACCGCAACCTTTAATTTTCCGGACGCTTATTGCTATTTTATTGTTTCCCAAAATCAGGTGTGTTTCTTCAGACAATTTCTTGGATCAGTTACCAAGGTTGATTACATGACATTGAGACATGGATTTATTATGGTGAGTTGAGAATATTTACTTATTCTTGCATCCTTTTCATCTGACAAGGAATTCTCATTATTGGAGTTGCAATGTACGTTCTGCCATTTTCTTCAGGCGCATTTGGCCCCTGGAAGTGCAACAAAATTTGACTTCCAAAAGTACATCAGAAGATCACTTGATGAGGATTTTAAAGTTGTGGTGGGGATCAGGTCTGTTCTCTCAAGCATCTGAAGCCCTAATTACCTGGATTGATTGTTTATTTCGGAATCCTAACCTTATTTTGTGTATGCAGTCCAATTATATGGTTCGTTGCAGTCTTGTTCCTGCTGACCAACACACATGGTAAGCACAATTTTCTTTTATAATTACCAGATGATATAAGGTAATAAAAGTTAGGTGGTTGGAGAGCTAAGAATTGTTTCGTTATTCCTGACAGGATGGAGAGCTCATCTATGGTTGCCATTTATCCCTTTATTTGTGAGTAAAAATATCATACAAAACCTTTTCTTTTACCTTTTTAATTGATTAATAAATTTCCTACTCTTGTGAGTTCTCTGAGCATTTGGAAGTCTTAACATTTAATTGGAAATTTTGCAGATAATTTTACTGATAGGAGCTAAGCTACAAGTGATCATAACCCAAATGGGCCTAAGGATTCAAGAGAGAGGAGATGTTGTCAAGGGTGCTCCCGTGGTTGAACCAGGCGATGACCTATTCTGGTTTGGACGCCCGCGATTCCTTCTCTTTCTCATTCACTTAGTTCTCTTTCAGGTACTCAAACACGTCTATACATCTACTTTTATCTGTACATCTTAATACTGTGCCTGCTTATGCTTATGCTTACTTGTTGTCTTTGGAACCTTCATTGCAGAACGCATTTCAGATTGCTTTCTTCATATGGAGTGTGGTAAGCAATTCTACCCTGTTCTTTTTCAAAAGTGACAGCATGATTTAGGATACTTTTTTTTACTTCCGAGGAATGATCTTATACCTTTCCTAACGAAAGAAGAAGAGTGGAGCCTAACTAATTTTTTTCCTTCTCCTTCAGTATGAATTTACAATAAACTCCTGCTACCATGCTCACACAGAGGCTATTGTCATCAGAATCACATTGGGGTGAGTTTCATTAGCATATTGAAAAGCACGAAAAAGGAAACTAGTTAAAATCTTCTGTATAATTACTACTTTCGCTCAATATTTACTGATTTCAAAAGGTTCAAGCATTGCTGACGAAATGCACATTGGAACTTTTCAGGGTCGTCATACAGATAGTATGCAGTTATGTGACTCTTCCTCTCTATGCTTTAGTGACACAGGTTAGTATTGAGATTAAAATGCCTTAAAGCTTCCATAGCAGTAAGACATTTTGTTTATCTTGTAAATGACATTGTTTACTGTGATCTCACAGATGGGTTCTAGCATGAGACCAACCGTCTTTAACGACCGAGTGGCAGCAGCACTTAGAACCTGGCACCATACAGCCAAAAAGCAAACAAAACACGGCAAGAATTCTGAGTCTCACACACCAATGTCAAGCAGACCACAAACTCCCTCTTATGGCATGTCACCTGTTCATCTCTTGCATAACTACCGTAGCAGCACTGCTCCTGATAGTTTCCAGAATTCACCAAGGAATTCAAATTATGACAACAATGATCAGTGGGATCCTGAAGCAAATTCTGTACATGATTATGAACTCAATGAGTCTGTACACCATGGAAGTCCTGATGTTAGGGACCAAGTCACAGAAATTCAAGATCCAAACTCGGTCCAATTGCCTCCAGGGCCAGGCTCCATCCGTACTCAACACGAAATTAACATCGGCAGTGCTCGTGATTTCACATTTAGGAAGTCATAGCAGATGCTTACAGGATTTATGCAGCAAATGTTGTTTACTAGTCATGTGTTCATTTCTTGTACATGAGAAAACAGAAACCTAGTAGGGCCGAAAGAAAGATTATAGGAATCTGAAAGCAACACAGGCAGGGATGGTTCGAGGCATTAGTTTTGGTTTCCTTTTGCTTTCTGTTCTTTTTTGAGATAATTTTTTTTCCCATGTTAATACATAGAACCATTTCAAAAACCAGACATCTCTTAGTGCAAGTGTATATTATGCTTTACGATGTACAAGCAGGGCTTGGGCTTTTGATAAAGATGGTTTGTGTTAAGAATTATTTCCTTCCTTGACAAGCTCACGAGCAGAACTTGTCTCCAAAATACTAGATTTTCTCCTATTGAATGTTGCTCTCATGCATTAGTGCAATAACAAGAAATGCTTGAAGCTTAAAATACCCAATAGCAAAAGTGGAGGCCCAGTGACAAAAAAAGACCCTAAAAGGTGGGTGGGGGGGCAGAGAGCACCAGTTATTTGTTCGATAAATCCTCACTGTTGTCGCTGTTGGAAGTTGGTGATTCGCTTTTTAAATCATAATGAAGCCTGATTTGTTCCTAATCTGTGGTTGTTATTGGAGGTTCATTTTCAAAGAAGAAAAGATTATCAGCAAAAATCGCTTTGACTCTGTCCACTTAAATGTGGTTTTCCTGAAGATTCCTTTATCTCTTGCATTTATCATCATACTAAATGAGAGAAGTGGCCACCTGGCTAAATCCATTCCTTTAGTTATGCTTGAGTTAGAAAAATGATTTTTCTTGGATTGCAGATTGTCTGGTTACTTAATGAGGAGACTTTGGAAGTGAAATGATAATAGGTTTTTTTTTTTTTTTTGTACGGTGGGAGAAAGAGACAAATACCAAGGACTAATCAAAGGAGCACCCAGATAATCCCCAAGTGAAATCTTTTACTAAAAATAGAAAAATGGAAGGAAAAAAAAATTAAGTTGAGAATTTTTTGGAGGTATAATGCACCCAGATCAATCCAAATTTAACATACCAAGAATCTGAAATTATAAACTGGTATTCCAACAAGGATCACAGGTTGTCAACAAATTGTTAAAAAAGGGAGTATAAACTAATTTATTCCAATGTATTGACAAATAAATAATTAATTAAAACCTCTAAAGATGCTCCATCAATTATTATTATTATTATTTTTATATATAATAAAGATATTCTCGAATCAAATAGTAATGAGTTAAGGTTGGAATTAAAAAAATCAAAGAAAAAATTAAAATTTTTTAACCACTATACCAATCTTTTAAATTAAATTCCATCAATTTTCTTATTATAGAACATGAAGTATTATATCATTAACCTAAATATTGTAAATAAACATATTGCCATCATTGATTAATTTTTTATTTTCAAATGATTGCAAGATAATGTCTCAAGATTCAAGACTGATTTTCTTTTAAGAATTTTTTTTTCAATTGTGTTTTAAATATGTTATTCGTATTGATATATTTCGAGAAAAAAAAATCATTCTCCATCCTTAAGCATTCAAAAATATAATAATAACGTGAAAAATAATCCATTTATATCCGAACCAAGCCTGTCTAAATGATATAAAAAACCAATAATAGTGACTAGGAGTTAATAACATTTGTGATTAGCCATCTCTTTGAAGTTTCAAGAGAGCACGTCGTGGCAGGTATATGTATACGCACATAGCACTCTCATTTCTAAAAAATAATCACACACTTTAACAACTAAATCCCTCAACAACAATACTGTAATAGAACAAAAGTTTAAAGAAGAATTTGATTGATTTGTTGACTGCGCATCAACCTTTGATTCTGATCACAGCAAGAGTTTACTTGGTTGAACTATTGATTGTAAAGAATACATCATGGAGGTTAGGCCAAATCAGACGGTCGATAACTCGCCACAGCATCGGCGCCATGTAGCAGCAACTTCATCGAAGCAACCTGTTGCTCCTCCTAACGCAGTTGACACCACTTCTGTTTCTCAAAGGTCTCTCGTTCTTGTATTTTCTGTTTGGCTCCCAAGAAATCTTTGACAAAAAGAAAAGGAAAGGAAAACCCATTTGTTAATTTTGATTTTCTTCTTCTGGGTCTCTTTGAATTAATAGAAAGATAGAAGCTTTGAATTTGTTAGTACCAGATATGTTTTTTCTTGGGTTTTTGGTTTTTAAAGCAGTGAAATGATCTTAATGGGTTCTGTTTGATTGTTGTTTTTTGCAGGTTACAGAAGGAGTTAATGTCTCTTATGGTATCTAAAAATCCTCTCTTTTCTATTTCTTGCCCGTAAACAGTTATCAAGTTTTGATTTTTAATGCGTTATTGGGTCATCAGTCTTGATTTTGTGTACTGAATTAGAACTGTTGCACTATATGGTAGACTTTTGCATTGTGTTTTGGTAATGGAAAGAGCTCTATTGGAAATAAATCTCTTTAAGCGGGATTCAAAGGGGTTTATAATATATACATAATAGCAGAAATTACAATCAAGTAGTGGTTTTTACTGTGTCAAGTGATGGTGGCCTGGACTCATCTTATATTGTTTCTGCAGATGATCGGAGGAGATCTTGGAGTGTCAGCTTTTCCTGAAGGTGAGAGCATTTTTGCATGGATCGGCACAATTGTGGGTGGAAAGGGAACTGCCTATGAGGGATTATCGTACAAGCTTTCTTTACGTTTTCCTCTAGACTACCCATTCAAACCACCTCAAGTCAAATTTGAGACGATGTGCTTCCACCCAAATGTTGATCAATTTGGGAACATATGCCTTGATATTCTTCAGGTATCAATCAACTTGCAGTGACCATAATTTTTTCGAATTTTGCGCATGTACATAAAAAGATGCAGGGAATGGTAGATGTTAAAATGATATTGAGATTAGGTTAAAATAATTTATTTGAAATTGGGGTTGCCAAAGTCTTGTTCTTCCTGTCGAAGCAAGTTCTCTCATGTGACTAATGAGATCCTCTCTATTTGTCTTCATAGGATAAATGGTCTTCAGCTTATGATTGCAGAACCATTCTTTTATCCATTCAAAGTCTATTGGGAGGTCTGCTCACAATTGTGTACATGTTTAAAGTTTAAACTTTGTCCGTGTTTCTGTTTTTGCCTAATTATGTAGTTTTTTCATGCAGAACCCAATCCAGAGAGTCCTCTGAACAGCTATGCTGCCAAACTATGGAATAACAAGGAAGGTCAGATATCCTGTCTTCATATTTAAGATAGTTTTCTTTTGTTTAAACATCAAGATCAACTACTATGAATATATAATGCTTGAGCTTCGGTTTAAATGTTCTTGCTGGGTATAATTCTTCTATATATGGGACATCTACAATGTTAAAGTTATGAGGTTTATTCTTATTGCTCTTGGACTACCAGACCTAGCTTTGTTTTGTGTTCTTCATGTATCGGTATGGTATCATGGAACTTGCTCTAGGGTTAACAGAAATTACCTATCTTCATTATCCGGTCTGAATGGACACATTTACTCTGTTTTATAAAAGAAAAAACCATTCTACTTTGCTACATTACTATGAACTGAAGAGAGTTCTTTATGCTGATTTGCAACAGATTACAAAAGGATGGTCCACAAACAATACCATACTGGAGAAGTATTTGAGAGTTGAGCCGTGAGTTCCTATCCTTGGTGACACCCAAAACATTACACTTCCACACAATTGCTCTTTAAAGGTTCAGGGGAAGAGTCTGAAGTCAGTTTGGATACTTAAAAGTACCCCGTTAACAACATTCTCGTGCAAAAAACTTAAAACTCAATTCGTTGTCCTGAAATTTCTGCCCTTTGCTTTCTCTGATTAAGCAAGTGGTATTTCTTTCTTGTAATTGTAAAAATAAAGTCTACGAATTTGTGTAAAATTTTATTTTTCAAAGGCAATGAAAAGCTATTTTGGGTTCTGTCTTTCTATAACCAGATACATTATTGGCTGTGGTTATTTTTACTCTCTATGATTCGTTTAGCATTTTATCATTTTTATATGCTTTGTCCTGTCGGGATCAAATCATCGTTCATCATGACTCTTTGATTACTGTGCCTCTCGGCTAGCAGTTATGCGGTGCGTCGCTACTAGAGGATCCTGCAACTGTCATTCAGCAACGTAATTTTGTTAAATGCCATTGGATCCTGTTACCATCATTTGGCCTTATGCGATTGTTCAGCATGGTAGAGCGCTGTTAACAGCTAAATAGAGTTGGAACAAGCGGCCGTTATTGTAGTCATATAACATCCTACTTCCTACAACACACACACACACACACATACGTTGATAATTTTTGCATTTCAAGTTCATGCTTTTGCTCTCTTTTATTTTTTATTTTTTCAGCTATAGCCATTGTTTATATGCAATTTACCTACAATAAGTTTGGTAATTGTATTTAATGAAATTATTAAAAAAGGCGTGCATGATTAAGATGGTACGGTTGACATCATAATAATGATAACCGTGATTGTTATTTTACACCTGCAAAGACAACGCCTGCAATGCTCGAGCGTGACCTGCCATATAAAACCAAGCTCACAACTCACAGGGAGAGCAATATTCAACTTTTGCCTCGCCTAAGCACCCATGGAGAAATCAGAAACAAGCAGCGACGACCATCGGAAAGGACACAAGATGTGCTTAAAGCTCGAAATATATATGCAAGACAAAAAATTAGCAGAGCTTAAATTAAATTTTTATAAATGGCCACGACTACCATCTCGAATTATTTACAAGATTTGAGTAAATAAAGATAACATGAGTAAAAGCAAATCAGTCTCGATTCGAACTATCAGCAACAGCAGGTGCTTTGCAGATGGGGCACATATTCTTCATCGACAACCATTTCTTGATGCAGTCAACGTGATAAACATGTCCACAGTTCTTTATCGTGCCAACTTTGTCCGTGCTCCTGTACTCTTCCTGTCAATTGCAATAGCCAACAAGGCGCAGAAATGTTACACACATCAAGAATGCCCACATATTGACTACCAAAAAATGCGTTTCCATTTTGAGCCATTTTGGACTATTAAACTCGACTACCAGTCTGGGATTTGGAAAACAATAATTGCAATGCTAAGCTGCAGAAACAAATTAGTTCACACAGGCATCTGTTTATATACCCAAAACCTTGCCCTGCACCCTGACTTATACTTCCAGAGGTATACATGTATGAGGTTAAAGACCGTGAATCATAATGTTGTTCTTGTCAAACTTAGTCCCTTAACGATATCTTAAGGTTTACTCAAATGCAAATTAATCACCATTTATGCAACTATTACTTACAAGGCAGATGGCACAGGATGTTTCGTCCTGGCATTTGTTTGAAGAAAGGCATGTTGTCTCCATCAAGCACTTTGAAAACACATCTTCAGGCAATCCTGTGTTGACATTCCCTATCCTTTCTCCTAGATCAAGTAGTTCCTGAAAAGGCAACATAGCAGATAATCTAAGTCGAGGAAAACCAGGAAAAGCTGCCAGTCAAAAAAGTCATTTCCTGAAAATACTAACCTCATAACTCATGCTGTCAACATCCAGTCTCATTTCCCTGTATTGATCAAATAAATTTCTGGAGCCATATAAATACGAGTGATCTAACATCATGAGAGCCTGCAAAGATGTAAAATAAACATGTGAGCAGGCAATGAACTGCATCAGAACCATCATACATATAAGCCCTAAACAGAAAAACCAACTAAGCGAAAGCCAAATTCTGGTTATGCGGAGATACGTGCACTTTGCAGAGAGGTGAAAGACATAATGTGCATGGCTCATATAATAGTTCAGACACATCCTAAACTTTAGCATTTTTTCATTAAGCAGCTACCTCCCAAGACTTGAACTTGCACTCTCATGGTTACAACATGTGTAAACTGGCATGAACTCCCCACACCCCAAACAGAGAGAGAGAGAGAGAGAGAGTGAGAGAGTGAAAAACAGGAAGAAAAATTCTAGCCCCATCCATAGCACAAGTCGCAAATGATCACCACTTACCTCAGATCCCATTCTATCACGTGCATCCACCACGTTAGAAAGTGACTGGAATCTCTCAATAGCTATTCTTGACCTTCCTTCTCTATGATTGTTGGGCCAACCTCCAGAAGAAGGTGGCCTTGGATATCTGGAACTATGGGTTTCTGAAAGAAAATGCTGACCATTTTCGATAGCAGCTGCTTCTTGTCCGAAATGAGAGGAGCTCATATCAGTCCAACGTGTAGGTATAGCTCTTCGAGGATAGCTATTCTGCCCATCCCTTGAAGCCTGAGCATGAAAACCATGAAGATATCGTGGTGGTGCAACAGGATTTCTGCTTAAGATGGATTCATGGTTGTACTGACGAATATCAGTAGGATTCCCTCCAGCATAATGCTGATTCATCTCATGGCTCAAGGAATTATTAGCTGCAATTGTAAATTGTAAATTATACTTGCCTTGGAATTGTGGGAAAAAAATAAGAGTAAATTAGAATATCTTAAACTAACCTGAGGTATGAAACCTCCCATGTGCAGGAGGAGGAACACCAATATGGTTCTGCTCATAAACAGTTCTATCAGTATTTAAGTTAGAAACATCCACTGGCCCAGGATGGTTTCGGAGATGAGATGTTGAAGAAAAAGGATGGGACGAGTAACTTAAATGGGTTCTCCTTGGGTTGGGCTCCAAATCAAGCCTAGATCTGCTTCTCACATTCCTTGAAGAATCTTCACCCCCAATTGACAGGCTGCTACCTATGTAGGGTGGTAAACCAGAGGAGTCTGATACGTAATTCCTACTATCTGAATTTGGTTTCTCATGGTGAAGTTCAAAAGAATTGGAGGAACTTCCTGCACCGTAGATACTGCTGGTGCCACCTCTTTCCCATGATGCAGAAACACCAGGGCTTTTTCTTTTGAATGGCCCTCTTCCAGTGCTCATTGTATGATCAAGTAAACCACCTTCAACTTCGTGGATAGCATGCCTGTTGTAGTGACTAGAATGAGTATGGGCTGCATTGAGCTCTGGTGCAGGATAAAAGCTTCCACCGGCTGGACAATGTGGGACTACATCATGTGGGGGGCAGAAGGGGGAGCATGAACTTGCGGACCTTCTGACCTGAAATATGTTGAAGAATGCTCAAGGGATCTGCTTTCCAGGTTCCGTCGAGAGGCACAATTGAGTCCATTTGTTGAAATAGGATTGATAGGATGAGAAAAGGAACCATTTTCTTGAGAAACAGCCCTTCCTGCAACAATGTTGTTCGGAAGTTAAATAGCATTCTAGACAAGGCTAAGCCATGACATAAGCAGTTGACAGATAAACAAGTAATAGCTGTTCCCTAAATACCCAAACAGGATGCAGTAGGTCCAATCTCTTAGCTAGAATACAATGGACAACTTAAGATAATTTTATGCCTGATATCAATGAAATTATTCAAATTCCACCAATATTCTTGATGATCGAAAATAAGGCAAGTGCTGTTTCTAATGGGGCATAAATTGAAAAAAGAACAGAAAAGAAAAGGTAATAATCTTCATACTTGCACATGTAAGCATAGCATGTCATTAAATTGTGGCATTGTCCCAGTTAATGGTCACTAAAGCAATGTATTAATGAAAAAATTTCCCCTTTGTCATAATCATTGATAGATTCAAACCCTTGATGTGTTCCCCACTTGAGTGGTAATGTAAACAGAAGCTGGACATCCTTGGTGCAAGGTTTTGAAAAAATACAAACTGATAAAATGCATTTTCATTGAATATCATAAAACAAAGCAAAATACCAATATGAGCATGGGGCTGTCCAGAAGCAGGGTGACCATGGCTCCAATCCTGCTCGATCTCGAAGAATTGGGAAGAGTTGAACATTTGTCTATGTCCCATGGCACCTTGCAGCAGAAGATGATTGGATTCTGAATAGGGGAAGAACGAACCTGCATATAAGTCATCTACAACGATCAGAGCAATCCCATATGCAAAAATGTGCATGCAAGTATACGTCAGTCTTCTACACATCATGTAAGCAGGCATGATACTAAGCTTTGCCTTCTGATGAAGATCAAAGTTAGAAATGATTCTATACGTGCTATTCCAGAAAGCCCAAACTCTTAAAACCAGAACGTTTGAAAATATGGTTGAAGAAATGAGAACATGGCATTTATAGCATTCTTCTGATTTCCCTCAGCAAAAAGTTGTTCATTTCTAAGAAGGATAAACAAAGTCTAAATTACTCATCAGAGCTATAATCACAATTCGTAGGATTTTAGACAACCTCAAAAAGTTCTATCCATTTGGTTCGAGCACCATTTCCCTGCTAGGGGACACAGTTTGCTAATGGGCTGAGACTACATTGACATGACAAAAGACCTGTAAAACAGGCTGCCTAAAATTTGGAAAACATACTAACTAAACAGATTCTCTAGTTTGAAGATTTGAAATATGTTGCTGAGTTTCAATAGGTAATGTTTCTATGATTTTAACCATGAAGAATTAAGTACTGAAAATTAAAAAAACAACTTTTTTCACAAAGCATGTTCCACTTGAAAATTCCAAAAAACATGTCATGCAAAACTGAGAAACATAAGTATTCGTTCTAAAGGAAATAAGAGAGAAGGGAGAAGCTGAGTCGAGGAAGGTAATCTATGAACAAATATCATATCTAGAAACAGGAGAAAATCATAATTATGAACTCGGTGCTCTGAAAATTTCTGACAGTAACAGTTCAAACAGGATTTATATATACAACAGTATTCCTATACAGTTGCAGAAATTCAATGGCAATTACTAAAACCTAATTCCCTGAGAAAATAGAAATAATACTAACGAATACAAGAACAACAAACTTCAACTGATCCCTGCTGCCATTTAAAAAAAGAATTAATAATGCTAGTAACAATAACTAATTCATTGTGTCTATAATGCCTCTTAAATAAGCAGGCTTACAAAGGATACATTGTTCATAACACAAACAATTCCAATAAAAAACGACAACAATAGCAATTAGAAGGGAAAAGAAGGCTCTCCTATCTTACATCATCAAGAAGGAAACTGAAGTGTGTGAATCAAGAAAATGGTTACATATGTCCAGATTCTGTCTTTCTATGCTAACACAACTATTACTGAAAGGCCAATTGTGACACTCTCCGTAGATAATGAATTCTACAGGCAATTACTAGCATTTCTTCATCCCTAGTAGCAGATTAGCAAATCTGCTGTAGTTAAAATACAGCTAAGCAAAACTTCTCCCTTCAAAAGACTAACTGAAACTCCTTAACAGAACTCAACGAAAAACCTTTCCTGCTTGCTAAAGAAATACTACTGCATTGCTTGGGATTGGAAAACCATGCAACAGGCTGCAACAACCCAGATGCACCAAGTAATATCTTGGCCAGCATATTGATATGGACAAATGGCATCACACCGGCCATATAAAGGAAGAGAACAGCTAAAGGAGCCCATAGAATGACATCTCCCCAGATCTGCAACGTGTCCATGCTGCCACAATCAAATAACGTTTCAGATGCCTGAGACAAAATCATTTTTCCAAGCATCTACAAGGAACTAGGGCCACTCATTTCAAACTTTTTCTCTCACTCCAGCATTTGAATGGAGATTTCTCAAAATCCAGGAAACAACTATCATTCTCCCATCAGAATTTCACACTAGAATGAAGAACTACTACTCTCCATCAAGCAAGTCTCTGCAACCATGCCACCAGATACTTCTTCAAGAATTTATCAAATTTTGGGTATCCTTGTATCAAAAACTTTATCCAGCATATGAGAAACCAAATACAGATCTATCACCGTAAGGCACAAGAACTCGACAATTTTTTTTTCCGCGTAATGGCCTCCAAAGGTGAGCCACTCTAAATAAGTATCACATTGCGAAAGATAGTCATCTTAGCATGACATTACTATCAGTCAAATGCACAAGAAAATCCCACGATATCACATTGCGAAAGATAGTCATCTTAGCATGACATTACTATCAGTCAAATGCACAAGAAAATCCCAAGAGCCTTCTCATTTTTCAATACTGTTGACCTAAAATGCTCACTCTGTCCAGACTGGGTGTATTTGGGACAGACTAATTCTAAGCTCACAACATCCTTCAGATGAAACTGCTCTATACAAGAATAGTTGGAATATTGAAAACCTTCAGGCCTTGGATCATAAGGCAGTTTTGTATTTGCACTCTCCAGTGTGAAAAAGAAACTTATAACGCTCAAATCAAAGTAATAAATCTAGAAGCCCCACAGTTTGATCTCCCAAGACAAGGATTGATTTCTAGCACATTATTGCAGCTGCATGTATTCATCAATTTTATGTGAAATACAGGAATTCAAAAATGAAAATCCCCTTCAAGAGCTCATTGAACCAAAAGTGCCTGCAAGGCAATACCACTTGCACTTTAGATAAATGCTAATAACAATAAAAGATAAATTTCCTATCTACCAAATTGAAGAAATCTTTTAGAATTCAGTTGGCTGTGACTAGTGACTAATTAAAGAAACCATGGAAGTACCGAAAAGAAGAGCTGGCACAAAGGGTTTAGGGCTGTTTTAGAGGCTCTACATAGGAAAACCTTGAACCTCATAAAATTGCTAAGAGATTTAGTAACTCTATGGACAGGGTGCATAAAGTTTATGCACACATCAAGACTGAAGATGGTTTGATAAAACAGAAATGCTTGAAAGAATGAGGAGAGAGAAAGAGAGAGAGAGAGAGAGATCCTTTAGATACCAGATCCTTACTCACCTGTACCTGATGATATACCAAAAACAGATATATGAAGCATCAATTAACCTGCATTTGCTAGCCACCTATAGGAGGGTAAACAAACCCAAAGCAGGGAAAAAGTATTATCATTCTTTTGATGAGTAAAAGTGGAGAAATAGGAAAAGCACCAAAGAGGTGCTGCCTACCCATACGATGGTACAATTTTATTAGCTCCGTTACATCTTCAAAGAGCCCTTGGATTGGTAAAAGAGAAATAAACTGAGAAAGTATCTGCAAGAAGCTTCAATTAGTTTATGAGTGTATCAATATCTAGGAAATGACACAACTCAGGTGTAACAAATCACTTTCATGCACCTGAACCCCAAACCCAACAACAAAAGACTCGAGATGTTTTAAAATTTAGAACACCATTCTTCTGCATGAAACACTTCCATATAAGCTACTTTATATGAATTCCTTTGAGAAGGGGAACTATGGCAGAACTCATGCTTTCTTTCATCACTTAAGCCTTCAATCTTACTGAAGCAAATGATTACAGCAAAAATAAGTACTAAGAAAAAAAGAAAGAGGATTGATTGAAAAGAAGACTACATCAGTTAAACATTAGGATAAATATCTTCTCCAATAAAAGCAGGCACAGAAGGTTCCTCCAAAGTCTCTAAGAAAAACCTCTTGTACCTGCTCCCTAAGTTTTCTTGATATTTTAATTCTATGAGACTGTCAATTGCAAAGAGTCTTTTGTTCCAATCCTCAAGATGAAAGGGGGAAAAATTCTATGATAAAGTTCAATTCAGAGCAACAGAGCTGAAAAAAGCAAAACCCAATTGATTAAATGATTGGTAAATATTTTTTAAATCCCCTTAGTCTATTAAGTGAAGACTATAGTACATCCATGTCAACACTCCAATTAACTTAAGCAGTTCCTTAGAATTTAGAAGTTCTTCCAGATCCGTTTGATTATGATATTTGGTGTGTTTTAAGATCACAACCACATAAGTTTATGATATTGAAACGTGTAATTCAAGCTTATTGAGTTACCATGTTTTTCGATACAGTTATTATAAATTGTCTTTCTATTTTTAGATGACTTCACTTACATCTAAAAAAGGACAACATTATCTAAGGAATAATGACTTCATTCGCACAAAAGCTAAGAGAACAAAAAATGAGAAGGAAATTACAACTACAACATGAAACTTGGGCCAAGAAGATAAATACAGAGCCCTGGTTTCCCATCAAGCAAGCATAATCTTTATGGAGTAGGTAGAGACATAGACCCTTGTATTGAGATAAACAAATGCATCTTAACATGGTGTATGGAAATTGCAAAATACACTAATAGCAGTGGAAAACTTGCCAAACTTCTGAACTTTCATTTTAAGTTCGATATGTGGAATCATCTCCAAAGGCCTGAGGACGATCTACTGATGACAACCTAAATCTTATTAAGTACCTAACCTTGCCTCTCTAAACAATGGTAGTATTCCATTTTTGAAGAGTCACGAAAACCTGCAGATCTAAGAAAGCAAAGAAGTGGGGCTAGCTGCATCTGTCCACTCAAGCCACTAGTTCCAAAAAAACCCATATTAGCAACAAAGCACCCATGAACAGGGAAAGAATTGAAAAACAATTAGCAAGCCATAGCCACATGCAAGATCAAGCAACATTTCATATCTTACCTTAAAAGCAAGGTCTCTTCACAACACCCATGGTCTTTCAAAAAACAATACTGCTGCCCCCCTGAGAATATTACAACTTTATGATCTTATTAATGTAATTTTGGTTCATTCAGACCCCACTCGCTCCAATTCTACTCACTGATTCCACATTAAAATCCTTAGATCTACAACTATTGAAACCAAAACAAACAATCCTAGTACAGTTGATAACACTAGACCATAGTAACTATTGTTGCATTGTTAGATAAATGACCAATAAATAAATAAATAAATCATATTGTCGCAATCTAACACACAAGTCCTTTAAAATCAAACCAAAGATGCAAAACTCTCTTTTAAAAAATGTTATGCGAGAATATGAAACAAAAGGCAAAAACTGCAATAATTGGCATGGACCAATGTTGCGTCTAATACATTAAATTATCTGAAAATCAAGAACGAATAATAATTTCCCACTGCCTTGGTATAGCAGCACCCGCCACTGCTGTCTGGCAATAATTATACGTGATCTTTCTCTTTGCAATAATACTATATAAGTACATTTGCAGCTGCATATTCTTATATGGTGACAACACATGCTGCCATGCAAGCAACGGATCATTATCCATCAGTAAATGCAAAATAAGATTGCAACAATGATCAGTGAAAAAACCTACAACCTTAATGGCCGGTGCAAATCATTGGCATAAAATAAATAGTTTTCATATTAAACCAACACACATACATCCGAATACACAGAAAGTAAGTCCAGAAGGAAAGTGCCTTACCCTTTCTATATATTTTGCAGGCAGAGACTGCTTTCAAGCCTCGAACTCGCAATTAAAAAAGCCAATCGCCCTTTACGCACGTGTGCAAATACAAATAATAGAAACACCACAACTTTTAAACTCCTGAACCGAGCTTTATTTTCAATAACGAGACCTCGCACCAGTTTCTATACGATTTGGTTCCGTACCTAATTTAAGCAATCAGAACCCTACGATTAGCCCTAAAATCTAAATTTCAAAGTTAGAGTAAAAAAATCACATAATCTAACAACACAACACCTAATCGGCACATTAAGTAACACAACAAATACTCAAAAAAATTTAGAAAAACGCAAACACACGCAAATTAGGCTATTTAGCGATGATAAACTAATTTAAATTCCAAACAGGCAGGCAAAAAAAAGAAGCACAACATCCATTACAAAGAAGAGGGCAGAGGAAAAAAATCACGATCATAAAAAAAAATTGAAGAGAACTGTTTAATTTCAAAGAATAAAATAATCAGATAACTATGAGGAAATTGAAGGTTAATCAACGGAGATTGATCAGAAAAAAGAAAAGGAGAAATTTTGCCGGCGAAAGCACCTGAGCCGTTTGATTGTAAAGTTGACTCCGGGGATCAGACGGTGGGGATAAAGGGGAACGAGAATTACAGGTGGCCTTTTGTAGAGAAGATTGAGGTCTTTATTGCTTGTCTGCTTGTTTGGTTGGTAAAGCAAACAGAGAGAGAGAGAGAGAGAGAGAGGAGGGAGAGAGTTGCTTGTAACTCTGTATGGGTTATAATAAGCGGTTATATATAATCTGGTGCTACGCGCATTAGTGGGGCATGTAATGCAAGTTTGATAATTAATTATGAATTAGGAGTCCTGGCGAGAAATCGTGGTTTTCGTGGGATTTTAAAAAGCCTCTTTTTTTTTCTTTTTCTTTTTTTTTTCATTTAAACTTCATTTTTATCCGTCTACATTTATCAATATTTCACTCCCAGGAATAATATTGCATTTCATCTTAAAATATTCATATTAAATTAATTTTTTTCAACTCATAATGTTTCTTATTATTCAGATGAAAACCAGGAAAAAAAATCTTCGAAAGGTTGGGCTATGGGTATCGTTTAAGATCCTGAATAATATTAGAATTTTTTGAAAAGCCACAGAGATAGTCTTGAAAAAATATAAAGGCAAAGTTGAATATTAGCATATAAAGTTGAAAAATACAAAGGAAAGGCTTGGAAGTAAACCTTTTATGAGAGAGAGGGACAAGTGCCATTTGAACAATAATTTTATAGGTTAACATGGGAGGAAGTAGGCTGAAGATGAAAAATTTTATAATACTTAAAAAATATTCTATAGAAAAATATAAAATAAGAGAGAGAGTAAAAAAAAAATTAAGTCAATATGAAAATATTTTTCTCATT